TCCTCTGGCAAAATTTGTTCCTTTCTTTATTTCTGCAATGAGCTTGTGTGTATCTAAAGAGCCCAATTCCAAGCCTGCTTTGCTGTGTGCAGCTTCATGGAGCTGCCCCTCGAAAGGTACCCAAGATAGACTTCTGCCGTCATCTTCTCCCTGGTTTCTGGTGCCCATGGAGTTGAAGCAGGCCTGAGGATAGAAATGAATCTGCTGAAGCAGGAATAAAATGGATGTATTTTATACAGTGGACATGCTCTAATCTCCTTATATTTTGTGCAGTCTGCATTCAGGCTAAGCTCTTTGAATAGATCTGGGAGCTGCAGAAGCAGTCTGTATTCATACTTATGTAGGATTTTAGTTGCCAGTGTTGCTGATGTTGTTAGCCAGCTTGGGTCTGGAAGCAATACAGTCATATTCATGCAGGACACCTCTTGAGCCAGAAAGCTCTGAGAGGGGGCATGAGTAATGGTCATTACCCCGACCTTGGTGCTGTGTATGCACAGCTGCACTGTGTCTTGACCTGAACTGGTTTAAGTGCCCAGCACAGGGCTCTACCTTGCAGGCTGATGAGCTCAGGTGGCCCAGCACATCCTCAGGGATAGTTGTTCCAGACTGTGTGCAGTGTGGATAGATTGGAAGGTCTTTGGGAAGTCTGCAGGTGGATGAAGCTGCCGGGTACCCTTTTGCTTCAGATAGTACAGCATGCACTGAGTGGGAGCCTGTTGGTCTCCATGTTCACTCATTCTTCCCCTTGTTCCTAATGTGCTGTTTATGCTCCCCCTTCCCGTTTCCTCAAAGTCTCTGGTCCAGGGCACGATTCCTACCAACCTGCCAACAGAGATGCCTCAGCTGATCCCTGTGTTTCCTGGGGGAACTCCACTGCTGCCCCCAGTTGTTACAGCCAGCATCCCTGTCTCCACCCCACTGCCACCTGCCTCCTTTGGTCTGGTGATGGATCCCACCAAGCAGCTCTCCTCCTCCTCCTCTGTCCTGGATGCCTTTGAGGCCCCACCAGGAGGAAGTGACGGCTCCACCTTAGATTCCCTGGATTCCCTGGATCTGTTTACAGACTCACGGCTTGATGTCCTGGTCTCCTTTGGGACAAGCAGAGGGTCACTGGATTCCTTTGGCATTGGTAGGTGCAGGGCTGATGGGGTTTTGTGCTGCTTTACCTGTGAATGCATGCCAAAATTATTTCATTCAGTGCTGGGGATGTCTGTCACGTAGCTCTGTCTGCCAGTGCTGCAGAATGGGAGTACGGATGTAGAATATCTTGGACAGAGTAGCTGGATATGTTTAGCTCAGGACTAACTCGAAAGTCTGATAGGTTTTTCACAGAATCATCATGGTTGGAAAGGACCTCTAAGATCACAGAGTCCAATCATCAACACAGGAGAACCCAACAAACTCAAACAACCACACACAGTCCACCAAAAAACATCCACAAAAAAAACCCCGTAACCCTGGCCACTAGAGCATGCTCTGAAGTGCCACATCTACACCTTTCTTGAATACGTCCAAGGATAATGACTCCACCACCTCCCTGGGCAGGCTGTTCCAGTGCCTGACCACTCTTTCAGTAAAAAAATTCCTCCTAATATCCAACCTAAACCTCTCCTGGCACAACTTCAGGTCATTTCCTCTGGTCCTGTCATTATTCACTTGGGAGAAGAGGCCAACATCCATTTCCCCACGACCTCCTTTCAGGTAGTTGTAGAGGGCAGAGATATCTCCCCTCAGCTTCCTCTTCTCCAAACTCAACATCCCCAGTTCCCTCAGCCACTCCTCATATGACTTGTTCTCTAGATCCTTCACCAGCTTGGTTGCTCTCCTCTGGACATGCTCCAGCACCTCCATGCCCTTCTGTAGCGGGGGGCCCAGAACTGCACATGGTCTGTCCATGATTTTTCCTGGTACCAAGGTCAGGCTGACAGGCCTGTAGTTCCCGAGATCCTCCTTGTGGCCCTTCCTGTAGAAAGCTGTCACATTAGCCACCCACCAGTCATCTGGGACCTCCCCTGTTGACCAGAATTGTTGATAAATGATGGAGAGAGGCTTAGTGAGCTCCCCTGCCCAGCTCCCTCAGCACTCCAGGGTGGATCACATCAGGCCCGATAGACTTATGCGTGTCCAGGTGCAGAAGCAGATCATTAACTACTTCCTGCTTGATTGTGGAGGGGTTGTTCTGCTCTCCATTCTTATCTTCCATCTCAGGAGGCTGAACACCCAGGGGTTAGCTGGTCTGACTATTAAAGACAGAGGCAAAGAAGGCATCAGGTACCTCAGGCTTTTCCTCATCCTTGGTTGCAATGTCATGTCCCCCTCTACATCCAGTAAGGGTGGAGGTTCTCCGTGGCTCTTTTTTTATTGTTGATATATTTGTTAAAACTTTTTTTGCTGTCTCTTATGTCAGTAGCCAAGTTGAGCTCCAGCTGGGCTTTAGTTTTCCTAATTTTCTCTCTAGATGACCTAACGAGATCTTTGTACTCTTCTTGAGTCCCTTCTTCCAAAGGTGGTAAACCCTCCTTTTTTTCCTAAGTCCCAGCAAAAGCTCCCTGCTCAGGCAGGCTGGCCATCTTCCCCACCGTTTAATCTTATGATACATGGGGACAGCCTGCTCCTGGGCCTTTTAAGATTTTCTTCTTGAAGAGGGTCCAGCCTTCATGGATGTGTAATCCCACATAACCAGTATTTTGTGTAGTGTAAAATCTCAGAGGAGAAAGGTGATGAGATTTTAAACCTGGCTTGGTGTCCAGGACACCTCCCTTGGCAGAATTTCTTGGGCTATAACATGATTTGTCCACCCTCCTCAATGGCTCCTTGACATCTTGGACCAAACAAGCAAAATGTTGGCATCTGTTTAAGATTGTATCGGACCAAGTTGCGCTGAATAGAATGGTAGAGGCCAAGGATTCAGGGCAGTGAGTGAGTGTCTTGTTGAATGGGGCACTCTTACATCACAGGGAGCAAAGCTGTGGAGGATGGTGGGCAAAGAGCAGATTCCCTCCTGTCCCAGGAGGTAAGGCAGGCTGCTTCTTCGCTAACTTGTCTCCAGTATTGTACAAGTATTTTGAGAAGAGTAGAGGTTGTCCAGTGAGCCCTTCAGCACTCAGATTGACCTCAGCATTGAGCTTCCTGAGAGTTGCCACCTTGGGAATGCCAGTGCTCAGCCATGTAGAGTTGGATTTAGTAGGGTTTGGGGAACAAGAAGGTCTTTCCTGGAGTTTTTCCAAGACTTAGACAGGTGGATTGAGGAAAAAGTACTAAAATGTTATGAAGTAAATAAAGCAAATGGATTGAATAAGCATTTGTTTGTCTTTTTGTGAGCAGAACTGCCTCTGAAAGTGAAAAGATTGTTTTTGTTTTGTGGGCCTTTTTTCCCTTTCTTTTGCCCAGAAGAAACTAGCCCTCAGGAACTGCGACACCCACCTGGCAGCCAAAAACCCTCCCCCGTGGTGAGTGAGCCGCTCCCCCGTGCTGATGTCCCAAGGTGCTCTGGAACCAAGGTAGTAATGACTTGGGTGATGTAGGTGGTTTGGGCCTCTTTTCCTAACCTGCCCCAGTGAGTGTGGCCTCCCATGTTGTGGCAAAGTGGATAAAGATTTCCCCAGAGTCCATAGGAGGATGTTTGTTCCATCTTAATTTTTGTCTGCAACTCTGCACGTTGCCACAGTAAATGTGTGACCGAGGTTGTAGTCCTGACAGGTGACCAGGGAGGCCAGTGTCCTGCAGTATCTGGCAGCCACGTAACACTGAAGGATGGGGGGGAGTAAGCCAACTTTGTCTTAAAACTCATGTGGTTCTTTGCTCTTCTCTGCCCCTGTCAGGAGGCTTTTCCAGATACACTGTCCTGCCCCTGTCCCATGTCCTTAGTCTTGGAGGAAAAGGGCAGGATTATCTCTGGTTAGCAAGCTTGGAACAGGCATTATTCACAAGTTCCTGGCATCTCGCTGTCCTGCTTACTTCAATGTGGAGCTGAGTCTATGTCCTCAGATTAATCTGCTCCCTGAAAACTCACCGATAACTGGTTTGGTTTTTTCCCAGGTTGGGATAGGGTTGATTTGATAGTCTTCAAATACAGAATTAGTCATGATAGAAGGAACAGGAAGGACTGAGGGGAGCATTTTGTTCTGTAGCTCGTGGTAGAAAACAGGTCCCTTGCCAAGAGACCCATCTTTGAAGTGAACGTACCACACTGTTACCGTAGAGATGGTTGCATGCAGGTCTTTTGGAGATGTAGTTTCAGATGTGAAGGTTTTGATGACAGAGAAAATGAGGAAGGTTTTTGATAAACTGGAATGGGGCAAGGGATTAGAGAGGTTTCTTACCCATGTGGTTGCAGATCTGAGAAGAGGAATATGTGTGTCACATGCTCAGGTCAGCCTTGGTGGAGCAAGTCACCCAGCAGTACCCAAGGTCACCGAGCACCTACAGTCCCAGCCGGAACCAGTAATGCCCAACACAGCCCTGTTAGTGAAGAACCCCCTGGCATCTACTCACGTCTTCAAACAAGCCTGTCATATCTGCTATCCCAAAACAGGTGATGCCTTTGCTCTGCCACCCAGAGCACCTGGTGCAGGCTAGGGTTTGCCTTTCCCTGGGCTTACGGGGTTATTCTCTCCTGCAGGGCCCAAGGCTGGTGATTACACCTACCGGGAAGGCTTGGAGCACAAGTGCAAGCGGGACATCCTGCTGGGCAGGCTGAAGAACTCAGAAGACAAGACCTGGAAGAGGATCCGTCCTCGCCCAACCAAAACCAATTTTGTGGGATCCTATTACCTGTGCAAAGGTGATCTGGAGGGAATAGGGCTGTCGGTGGCTGGCAAGGGACTTTACTGTGCATGCCAGGGGAGTTTGGGAGAGGATGTTCAGTTGGTATCACCTGCTGTCTTTAGGCTTCTACCTGGCCCGTCAGTAGTCCATGGCAGTGAGGTCCTATGCTGTGGAGAGCACGTTGCTTTTAAAGTGGTGGAGCAGAAGAATTGCAAACGCATAGTGAGGTGCTGTGCACAGCCAACTGCTCAGAGCTGCCCTGTTGACGTGGGCTTTGCTGACAACCTTCCTCCTCTACATGTGCCTGCTTTTGTCCCACTCCACCCAGCAGCCCCGTGGCAGCAGGGCTGTGGTTTCACCTAGGGAAGACCTCTCTCTACCTGCTCCTTAGCTCCATCCCATCCCTCATATGTGCAGGCAATTTGACCAGGCCGGTCCATGAGGCAGTGTCATTATTACAAAGTGCCTGATGAGGTGCGGAGTTTGCAAACGCCAAGATAACAGGGCTTCTTAGTGGTGGGTTAGTAGGAGAATTTAATCTGGATTGGCTTTAAAAGGGGTTGGTTAAATTGTGGTCTGTCCCTGGCCAGGCACTGAATTAAAACAGGCCTCCGTTTTGAGATGGTTTTCACAAGAGATGGCATTGCCTGAGATTGTCACCATTCAGTGGTTTGCATTAACTTTCCTGAATGTCTTGGTAGAGACAAACCTGGGGGAGATGCCTTCTCCTTTTTTTTTAACTCTGTGTTTTCTTGCTTTCAGCTCCTTGTGCGGTGTGGGCAGTGGGAGGAAACAGGAGAGAGTTTAGTTTCTGACTGGGCCGCCCTCCCTGTGTGGTGGTGTGTGCTGTTTGTTGCTTTGTAGATATGCTTAACAAGCAGGACTGTAAGTACGGGGATAACTGCACCTTCGCGTACCACCAGGAAGAGATCGACGTGTGGACGGAGGAGAGGAAGGGGACCCTCAACCGTGACCTCCTCTTTGACCCGCTAGGGGGAATCAAGCAGAGCAGCCTCACCATTGCCAAGCTCCTCAAGGAACATCAGGGCATCTTTACCTTCCTCTGTGAGGTACAGAGCTCATGGGAGGGAGTAGGCACCCTTTGTCACCTCAGTATGTATCTAGAACATGGATATATTGATAGTTACCACCATGGAAACATGGTGGGGTGTCTCACATAACTGGACTGCTGCAATGGATGGCTATACATTTTTCAGAAAAGGTAGGCAAGGAAGGAGACATGGTGTGGTGGCCCTGTATGTTAGGGAGTGTTTTGGTTGGCTAGAGCTTAATGATGGTGATGTTAGGGTTGAGTGCTTATGGATAAGAATCAGGGGGAAAGCCAACAAGGCAGGTGGGAGTCTGTTACAGATCACCCAGCCAGAACAAAGAGGCAGATGAAATATTCTGTAAACAGCTGGGAGGAGTCTAACAATCACTAGCCCTTGTTCTTCTGGGCGACTTCAACCTACCAGTTACCTGCTCAAAATACAATACAGCATAGAGGAAACAGTCCAGAAGGTTCCTGGAGAGTGTGGTAGATAACTTCCTGACACAGCTGGTGAGTGACCAACTGAGGAAGGTGCCCTTCTGCAGACCTGTTGTTTGTGAACAGAAGGACATGTGGGTGATGTGACAGTTGGAGACATTCTTGGGCATAGCGATCATGAAATTTCAGAGTTTTTAATTCTTGGAGAAGTAAGGAACAGGATCAGCAGGACTTCCAGAGGGCAGACTTTGACCTGTTTAGGAGAAAATAAAGGAAAGTTTATGGCCTTTGGAAGAAGGGACAGGCAACTCAGAAGGACTACAAGGATGTCATGAGGTTTTGAAGGGAAAAAATTAGAAGGGCCAAGCCCAACTAGAGCTTGTTCTGCTGCCATAGAAGACAATAAAAATATTTATATAAATACATTAGCAGCAGAAGGAGGGCTAAGGAGAATCTCCATCCTTTATTGGATGTTGGGGGCAAGAGTGACAAGGATGAAGAAAAGGCTGAGGTACTTAATGCCTTCTTTGCCTCTGACTTTAATAGTAAGACCAGTTGTTCTCTGGGTACCCAGCCCCCTGAGCTGGCAGTCAGGGACAGGGGGCAGAATGAAGCCCCATCATCCAAAGGGAGATAGCTAGCAACTTGCTACACTGCTTATACACACACAAGTTTATGGGGCCAGGTGGGATTCATCCAGGGGCACTTAGGGAGCTGGTGGAAGTGCTCACCAAAACATTTTCCATCATTTGTCAGCAATCTTGGCTAATCAGGGATGTCCCAGTTGACTGGAGGATAGCAAATGCAGTGCCCATCTACAAGAAGGGCTGGAAGGAAGGTCCAGGGAACCACAGGCCTCTTAAGCCTAACCTTAGTGCTGGGGAAAATTACAGAGCAAATCATCTTGAGTGCCATCACATTGTACATACGGGACAACCAGGTTATTGTGCCCAATCAGCATGAATTCATGAAAGGCAGGTCCTGCTAGACTAACGTGATCTCCTTCTATGAGAAGGTAACCTCCTTAGTGGATGATGTCTACCTAGACTTTAGTAAAGCCTTTGACACTGTTTCCCACAGCATTCTCCTGGAGCAACTGGCTGCTCATAGCTTGGATGGGTGCACTCTTCACTGAGTAAAAAACTGTCTGGCTGACAGGGCCCAAAAAGTTGTGCTAGATGGAGTTAAATTCAGCTGGCAGCTGGTCACAAGTGGTGTTCCCCAGGGCTCAGTGTTGGGGCCAGTTCTGTTTAATATATTTATCAATGGCCTGGATGAGGTGATCGAGTGCACCCTCAGTAATTCTGCAGATGACACCAAATTGAATGGGAATGTTGATCTGCTTGAGGGTAGGAAGGTACTGCAGAGGAACCTGTACAGGCTTGATCAATTGACTGAGGCCAATTGTATGAGGTTGAAGAAGGTCAAGTGTCGGGTCCTGCACGTGGGTTACAAGAACCCCTTGCAACGCTAGAGGCTTGGGGAAGAGCAGCTAGAAAGTTGTCCAGCAGAAAAGGACCTGGGGGTGTTGATCAACCACCAGCTGATTATGAGCCAGCATTGTGCCTGGGTGGCCAAGTAGGCAAATGGCATCCTGGCTTGTACCAGAAATAGTAGGGCCAGCAGAACTGGGGGAGTGATTGTCCCCCTTTCCTCAGCACTGGTGAGGCTGCACCTCGAGTACTGTGTTCTGTTTTGGACCCCTCATTACAAGAGGGACATTGAGGTGCTGGAGCGTGTCCCAAAAAGTATAATGAAGCTGGTGAAGGGTCTGGAGAAAATGTCTTACAAGAAGCATCTGAAGGAACAGGGGTTGCTTAGTCTGGAGGAGGCTGAGGGGAGACTTCATTGTTCTTAACAACTACCTGAAAGGATGGTGTAGTGAGGTGGGTCTCAGTCTCTTCTCCCAAGTAACAAGTGATAGGGGAAGAGGAAATGGCCTCAAATTAGGAAGAATTTCTTCACCAAAAGATTTGTCAGGCACTGGAACAGAGCCTCATGTGATCTCCTCTCTCTTCATCTGTCTTGAGATTTTGCTTTGAATTGTAATTTAGCCGCAGCTACCTTAGAAATCAGAACCCTTTAATGCAGCAGATTTCTACTTGATGTCTGTGCTGAGCCACTGAGTCGGTCAGTTAACGATTGGCTCTTACTATTGTGATGTTCTGCAGCAGAGAGTTCCCCTCACTGGCAGTGTTACATGTAAAGGAACATATTTGCTGTGAACTGGCTGTTCTTTCTCCCCATTGCTTGCCCCTTGTTCTTTCTCTGTTGGCTAACTGGGGAAGAATATGCAGCCTGATGAGAATTTTTCCAACCACAGTGGAAAATATTGTTGAGAACAAGCCAAAAAATGTTGTCCAGAAGCTTTTCCAAAATTTTTCTTGCTTTATTTTAAAGCCTTACCACAATTTTTTCACCAGGCTTCTTCTAACTTTGAACATTAGAATAGGCTGGCTGTGATTCTTCTTCCCCTTCCAAGTGAAGTGGCTCTGGTTCAGAGCTCTCTAAGATTTTCCCAGCATGCTAATTCTTCTCTTCTCAGATTTGCTTTGACAGCAAACCCCGGATTATCAGCAAAGGGACCAAGGACACACCATCTGTCTGCTCCAACCTTTCTGCCAAACACAGTTTCCATGACAACAAGTGAGTGAATGTTTTTTTTTGTGCTGGTGGGAGCAGTCTCTCACAAGTCCAGCCAGTTTAACTCCAGGGCCTCGGTCTCTTTCTTTGTTCCTCCCCATGGGTTCCAATCATTGGGCTGTTCAAAGCATGATAAAAAGCACTGTATGCTTCACCCTCTGTGTTTGCTCCTGGTGCTGAGGGATTATGAGCATCAGCAAAGCCCTTTGGAGTCAGCCTAAGTTTTCCATTGACTTAGTTTGCCTTTCAGTTTGGCCTCCACATAAAGGTCAAACCAAAGATCCTCTAGCTCAGGATCCTGCCTCTGACTGGCTGGTAATGAATGTTTAGGAAAACAAGTATAAGAGACATGTCAAGTACACAGTAATACAACCCCTCCTGGTTCCTGGCAACCTGAGGCTTAGGGACTTGCTGAGCCAGATGAGTTGGTGTACTTAATACGTATTTTGAAATGCGTCTGATCTCTGAATTTAGGCAGAGCATCACCCATGGGCTGAGGAGGTTGAAAATACCTGCCTAGGGTTGATAGGGTGGGAGAGCAGGGGGTTGAAGTCTGCCTCTCCCAGAGTTGATTTTCTGTGTCCTTTTCCTGCCCAGCCCAATGTCTGAAAGTCACACATAGGGAGGAGGGGATGAAGATGTGATCCTCTGGTGCTTTATGTTTCTCTGGCCTGGCTGCAGGTGTCTGGTCCACATTGTGCGTTCCACCTCCCTGAAATACTCCAAGATCCGCCAGTTCCAGGAGCACTTCCAGTTCGACGTGTGCCGCCACGAGGTGCGCTACGGCTGCCTGCGCGAGGACAGCTGCCACTGCTCTCACAGTTTCATCGAGCTCAAGGTTTGGCTGCTGCAGCAATATTCAGGTGAGTGTGACTTGGTGCAGGGCTGGTGATGTGTACACCCCGGCTCCCTCCAGTGTGTACCCCGGGCCAGCTGAGAGGGTGTAGAGGGTGATCTGGGAGTACTGAGAAGTTGTCACTCACTTTTGCATATACTCACTCAGTCTCCTCAGGGACACAGAAAAAAGGGCCGAGGTGTTCTGTCAGATGATTTAGCCCCTTTCCCTTTACGTGTGCTGCTGCAATTTGCAGACCAGGAAGCCTTTCCCTTGGGACCAGCTGCATCAGCTGAAATGACTTATCAGGTAGGGCTGAATCCGCAGAGCTGGAAGCAGTTACATAAAGAGAGGCTGTGTATCTCTAGTTTCTCTAAACAAGTTCATCAAGGGTGGGAACTGACAAGGTACTTAGTGTTTGCCAAAAAGGCTTTGATGACAAGCCTCTGAAGAGGCTATTGCAGAAATTTTATTCAGGTCACTCATGTAATGACTCTGACACATCTGGTGCATTCAGTCCTCTCTCTCTCTAACATGTTGGAGGGTTTCTCTTGTTGCTGCCCTGTTAACCAAGTAGATGCTGGTCCACCCACAATGCTACCTATGTATTTTTTACAAAGGGGTCTTGTTTAGTTCAGGACCCATCCTGGTAATGGGAGTATTTAGGATAGGAGACACATTATGGATGTTTTTCACCATTCTTTGGTGTAATTGAGGGCAATGTCTTTAATTCACTGTTCAAGTGCCTGTCATTGTTGTTCAGTGCCATCCTTGGCCTTGGTTTGGCTCATGAGGGACAGTGTTGAACAAGTAGCATACTGTGGCAAATGCCACTTGTGGCCACAGAAAATAAAAAAATTACAACACCAGAGTTGCTGAGACAGCATGTTGCCTGTGACCTGTAGGCCACCACTGCTGCCCTGTGTGCTTATGATACTAGTACTCTGATACATACTTCATACATCTTTTTGGGGTTTTTCTGCAGGACTGTATATATAAGCCTGCTTTCCTTACCAATTTGCCTTCCTAGACTGGTAGTTTATTACCTCTCTCTTTTATGTGTAGCCCTCATTATGGAAACAGAAATGAAAGGCAGTTGTCACCATTCTCTGGGAATGCTTTAGCTTTGGAGCAGAGTTTTATTTGGACACCATTTGCTTGGCAATAGGAAGGAAGCATCATTCATAGCAGCTTGTGTTTGAAACCAGTGGGCTGTTGCATTTCACAGTCATTTAAGCTTTTACAGAGCATGTGGCTTTGCTCATGGGGATAAGGATTAAATTAGTGGAGTAAAGGTTCCCAAGATCTGAAAATGTGGACAGGCAGGGCTGTTTTCTTGTTCAGTGTAGCTTTTCGCTGACGTATCTGCTGTCTTCCGTCAGTGGAAATCACAGAGTCTTTGCCCTCACTAATGATGTTGCAAAAGATGCTGAAATGTTACAAGCAATCAAAACATGGGCCTTTTGGTTCCCAGATAATCTCTTTTGGACAGTTCATGCTTTGGAGAGCTGGTGTTTTGGGAAACATCTTCTCATATTTGGGAGGGTTTTTTTTTCCCAACCAACACATTTCTAGATGGTACTGTTGGGTTGGTTCAGATTCCTGTGGCTGGCAGACAGCAGACACTTGCTAAGAACTCAATTTAAAACTCAGTCTTCTGACAAGAGCTGTATATGATTCTGGCACTGGTTCTGCACCACAAGGATCACAGTCAGGTGTGCAGGATGGAGAAGGTGGCAGCTGCTTCAGCCCTTTTTCGGAGAGGTCCAGTGCAGCTCATTAACTTTTTGCTTTGGTTTTCGCAGCTGAATTTTTTTTTGTCCTCAAAGTATAGATGTGTCCAGCCCTGGAATAGTTGGACACATAAGCGGGAGTTGCTGTTTTTCTAACTCTACACTGTTTCTCCTGAGATTAATGGTTAAGAAGGGGAAATTTCACAAGCAGCTCTGATCTGGGAGCATTACCAGCTATGCAGCAGCTGCCATTTTGGAGGCCTGAGCCAATGTTCTTGAAGAATGGTGGAGTTCCCAAAATGCTTTTCATCATGTCCAAACCCTGTGCAAACAACAGGGTTGTTGCCTGGCAGGGACCTGGACTGCTGAAATCATAGATGGGGAAACTGAGGTCAGGAATGTTGTGACTTACCCAAGTTACACACAGCCTGAGCTGAGATGAAAACTTGTGTTTGCTGGCCCTTAAGTTCTGGAACATGCTGGTTCCCAGATAAAACTGGCATGCCTGGGGAACACCTCACTTCAATAATAAAAGCCGTAGGCAAAAACAAAGCAAGCAATTTTGCAAGCTCTCTGTGCTGGGGTGCTGCATCAAGGCCATTCTCAGCACCCCACTGATTGTAGTAGCACTTAAATAACATGGCTTTTTTTTTTTTTTTTTTAATAGAGGCTTCACGTTAACCAGACAGTTCCTACTCTTACTTTTCTCTTGCTGTTTAGTGCTCTGGGAATTATAGTGCCCATCTAGCTGGTTGGTGCTGGCACAGGCTCACTACTCACAGCCCTCACTACTGAAGTTGATCAGGAGCTAATTCCTTAGATAAAGTCTGGCCAACCCTTTTTCTTGTTGTCTGATGTTGCATTTCTGATTCCTGAAACCTTCCAGATCTTTCCTTGCTGCTTACATGCCAGCAGCTGTTCCTTGGTTGGTTTTGCACTTGGTTCCTTGCTACCCTGGTTGAACTTGGTGTTTGTTTGTGTTGAATTTCAACTTTCCTCTTCACCTATGGATTGATGGGCACCCCTCACAATCTGAAGTGTGTAACAGGCTAATTAATCCCAGCAGGGATTAGGTGAGACTTCTGGGGTATTGGAGATGCTAGATATCTTAGTGGGATATCTGATCTTCCAAGCTAGTGGCAAAAACTCCTATGTGTAATAGATCAACAGTAACAAAGCATTATCCTTAGGGCTTTGGATAGAATCTGTTGATATGGTGTTGGGGGACAGTCTTGTTCAAGGTCTTGACCCTTAGTCAAGAATCATCATCTTGGAGGCAACATCTGCATCCTTTGCAGACAGCCTGAGCAGAATGCCAGGTCTGAATGAGCCCAGGACACCAAACTCTTCCCCTTTCACTTGGCTTGTGTGGAGAGAGGAGCTTCCTTAGCTTGTGCTTAAACATGTTCTGTGGTGGTTACCCTCACAACCCACGTCCTGAGATTCCCAGTGGCACTGTTGGAAGCTGTCAGCTCCACAAGGGTTCTGAAGTCCCAGCATAGGAACTCCTGCAATCCTTCCCTCCTTCTCTTCTCTTGGCCAAAGCAGGGTAGCTCAGACCTGTCTCCTTTTATTCCCAGGAATGACCCATGAAGATATTGTGCAGGAATCAAAGAAGTACTGGCAGCAAATGGAGGCACATGCCAGCAAACCAGCCAACAGCATGGTAAGTAAGGTACATCTTGGGCTCGCAGCCTGGTTTTGCGACCAACTGTTGCAGCACTTCACTCCTTTTCCTCCCACTGCTGTGCCTGACAGGTCCCAGACAGACTGGGCTTGCCTGTTGAGGAGGAGAACATCTGAGAGATTTCTTGATGGCACTGCTGGTGATGAGCTTTGTGCCTTGTTTTGCAGCGTGGTTATCTGCTGTGTTCAGTGGTGGGGTGAAGCCTTCAGAGCAGGGAGGGCACTGCACAGAGAATATTGCTTTCTGCAACACTGTACTAGTGATGTCGGGACCATGGCCACACAGAGTAGGGACCAAAATGTCCTGCTGCCCTTTAGTGGCCAAGGGGTGACACAACAGTTTGAAGGACTCAAAGGTGGTATCTCATGACCCACAGGACTCCTCTAAATGCAGGAGCAGGTGGAACTTGCAGCTCATGGGCTGTTGAGGCTGGGCAGAGATCTCAATGGTGCTTTGCCAAGAGGAGGCTGTGAGCTTTGCCCCTCTTTTTGCCACCAATCTCACAGTGTGAGAGAAGGTGCCTCTGTACCCTCCAGCACTGCCAAGAGCTTTCTCTGGAGAGGTGTGTTAGAAGCAATGGGTGCCTCTTTGTTTTCTTCCAACCTGTTGGCTACAGGTAGTGCTGCCTTAGCCTTTTTTTTTTTCCCCAAGGTGGTGTTCTGTAGTGTAGCAGAATCCACCCAGTGGGGACAATTCCCCAGCCCAGCCCTAAGGATGAAATAAAGCAGTTTTGCCTTTAGAACAGGAAGTTTTTGTTCTTTAGTTACTCTCAGAAGATATTTCTGATGAGATGAGAAACTTCATGCCTCCTAGCAAGCTCTATGGTGTAGAAGCAATTCTCTCCCCTGCAAAATGGTAGGGGAGGTGGTGTGACTCCATTTTCTTCCCTCTTGACAGCTTGCTTTCCCCTTGTGGAGCCCTGAGCTTGTCACCCCTTGGACTTTGCCTTACTGTCAGAGCAAAGGTGCTTCACCTTTGTCTGAGACCTCTCAGCCAGGAGTCCCTCTGCAGAGACCAGCACTGAGTGCAGCTTGTGAGCACCCTGCAGAGGAGATGTTTTAAAGGAGAGGGATCTGAGTCACTCACGTGGTGTGTAGCAGCTTTTTTGGCTAGGTTACTGGCCAGCAGAAGTGTTCTGAAGGCTGTAGTGTCTTGGGGAAAAGTGGGCATGGATTAGCCCAACAGGAAAGATGTAAGGGACTGCACTGGTGCTTGTAGTAGGCTCTGTGTCCACTGGTTATGCTGCATTAGATAGAGTCATCTTTGAGGAGATCCTCAGCGAAGTATCTATGCAGCCCGTTGTTGTGGTCTGAAATTGCTGGGGGAGAGGGATGGGAAGCAGCAGTCCAGAGTAACCAAGGTCTCTAGTTCCCAAAACTGTCAGAATTGCTTAAGGAGTACGCTCCAGCCTCTCAGGAATCTGACAGGACAAGTTTCCACAGCTTATATTATGTGAGAACTGAGCCTGGTCTCTGTGGACAGAGCTGGCTGTGATCTCTTTCTGCCTAGTGTGAGGACAGACGCAGCTGCCTGCATCTCCACAGTGGAGGAAGCTATATGTGAATTTGCAGCAGCTTGTGACATTAGTTGGATTTGTATCAGCAATCCCTGCCCCCTGGAGGGTGAAGTCTAGTGACTGCTTCTGTCCTGCCTGCCGTGGATCCACCTGCATTTTCCAGAAAGCTCTGTCTTGCCATTCTTCACATAGTCTGGGGATAAAAAAAACAGATGAGCAGCTGTTTCCCTGTAAGCCTTGCAGCTTCGAATTCACCTTTGTCTGGAGGTGCTGCTGTTGGAAGAACAAGTTGTTCA